CCCCACTGCCTCTCTCTCTTCTATTAAAGCTGTAACTGTGGCAGCTTAGCCAGGCATGTGCTAAATTTATTGAAGATATTATTTTCTTTTTACAGCTATTAATTATAGATGGGCAGCAACTGAGAAATGGTGCAACTGTAGAAATGGATGAAGTTCAAAAGTTTGTTGGAATTTCTCTGCGTTGTAATTATTCTGATGTCTTCACGTGAAGACATGATGATTATTTTGCAGAAAAAACATTTCTATGAAAATGTTTTCAGACACCGTTCAGCATGGGACATGTTGAGGGGGGCTGAGTGGTGGTAACTTACAGCCATCAGATCCTTTTGATGGGTGTTCAGAAACTCTCAACAGCCATTCCTCTAAGCGCAGGATTTTTTCTAATTCATGAATTCTGAACTTCAGGTCCTTCCTGGGTAGCTAGAAAATGTCTGAGGCTGTTAATTGCCAAATTGTCTCACAGCACTAAATCTCCATCAAAAAACCAGTGTAAACTAAAATTTAAAAAGAGCTAGACTAAGAAACAACATTCTCCTTTTGAGAATATCAAGAGACATTTTTTTTTTCCAGAATCCATGTTAATTCCTTAAACCAACTATTTCCAGTTAATATTTACATTTCAAGAAAGGAAGATTTTAAATTAAGCTTTATTTTCAAAATTCTTGCTCAGCTCTTAATGTCTCACTATTTTGAAAATAATGGTACCTGCTGAGAGCCAGTAGTTATAAGCCACCATCTTTTGTGGCAAGACTGAGAATCAGAGGCTGGAAGAATATGGGAAATGTCATTCACTTATCAAAATAATTGGTATATGGATATAGTTCTGAGAACATTATAAGAAGGTGGAAGAAAGGAGAGATCATTTTCCTCCGAAGACTCACAGAGTGAAATCTTACTGTTTTGGAACTGACACCAAAATTAATGTTAAATATAGTGGGGCCAGCCAAATAGTTGGCAAAAAAAGACGAACACAGGTAAGTAGTCTTATTTTAAAATTAACTAGAAATCTGTCAAAGAATTCAAGCATCGAGGAGGACTTTTAAAAGAAGTAATAAGGCACCTAATTTTGTGACTCTGCACATCTTTCAGGTTAGAAACCCGCTGGTTTCATGTCCTCAGGAACAACTTTGTGGACTTCTTAATGCTGTTGAAAGGAAAAAAATCAACGAAAACATTCATGATTATTTTCTTTTGCTGTTGCATTTCGTGACAGATATCTGTATAAAAGAGATTTTTAGCTGAACCATATATTCAGCTCAGTGATGCTATTCTGTTTGTAAAACTCCTGAAAAAGTCTCAAGTAACAGAGCTGAGATTTTCTGAGTTACAGAATTTCAAAGTTTCGCTTGTTGATACACAGAACTTTGTTGCATTTTCTGAAAATGAAAGAAAAGGAGACATTAGGGACAGAGTTCTGGATCTTGTTAACAAAGCCGTCAGATGTAACCAGATTTACAACTGTCTGTAGATACAGGAACCAACTTCTGTAGCCCTCCAGTATACCAGTCCCCTGAGCTCTGCCATTTCTCAAGAATTGGGTTTGACATTTTGATGCTGTGAACGAGTTAACTTCTAGAAAAGAGAAAAAAAAAAGGGGGGGGAGGGCGG